AATGAAGGCGACAATGACAGACCGAATGGTTCCCAAGTCGACTTGAGTCTCAAAAAAATGTCAACGTCGGAATCGTCAATATTCATGGTGTTCGTACGATGACGGGCTTCAAGGATGTTCCATGCCCATTGCCGTACGTCATCCCTGTTGAGACTTGAGGTCGAGGACCAAGTGAAAAAAAATCGAATGTCGTCACCGAAAGACACATCGAAGACGAGCAACTCCTCACCTTGAAGCACGCCTAGAGGTTCCTCCATCCAGCGGGGTTAGAATTGGCTGGGGGTCAACACTTCACGGGAGTATTTGAACAATATGTCTTGTCTGTGCGCACGTCTCACAAGTGTCTACGCATGTCTATGCAAATCACCTCTTTTTGTGCTGTCTGTACTGTGCTTCCTGTGTGTCTGAATGATACAGTAATATGCATGTCTGTATGTCTGCATCACTGGGTTCCAAGAGGTGTGTCTGCCTTCTTCATGCAAAACTCTTCAGACTTGCCTGCGTCTGCGTTCTGCATATGTTTATTTTTGAAAACTTAATAGGCATGTGGGCTGTCTAGATCCAAAACCATGGGCACCTGCCACGTGAGGGCCGCCCAACTCAGCACACCAGTGGCTGAGTGCAGGATGCACGATTGATTGTTGAACATTTGTCCGAGATCTAGCTGAGTAGGCCGGTGATTCATGGTCTGCCCCTTGAAGCACTTGTGAGAAATAACAACTCCCATTGCCTCACAGCTTTCAAGGCCCATCTCCAAAAAGTCTTCCACGTTGGGCGTGCTGGTCTGCGTGTGCACCCCAGAATTGATATGATAAAGGACATATGAACCAACGACACCAACCTGATCCCCTGCTGCCATTAAACCAAAAAATAGCATCTTAAGCAACACGCACGGTATGCCGGCAAGCAGGCTCAAAGGGACCTTCATCCGACCAAGCGACCCATACAAGTTGGCAAGCCGGTGAATGTCGTAGCAAATGCCTGGTGAACACAATTTGAGTAAGTGGGACCAAGGAAAATGGTGTGCATGTCTAAATGTGTGGAAGTGGATTCATCATGATTCATCATTGGCTGTTGAGAATCAGCAAGGACCAAAAAACAGCGGGAACTGGAGTTTGCACTTCTGACACTGGGATTGTTGGACGTGTACAGAACAGCACAATGTCCGGTCGAATCAGCTGCAAGAAGCTTGCAGACTAGATTAATCAAGTAACTAATTGGAAAAGAACATTAATGATCATAATAAAGTCAAGATGGCAATCGACGCAACTATATCCAGTGAATATAGTTAGCAAGAGAGTTCCAGAACTCAAAAACCATGCGTATACTGCATACATTTCTATATATATATTATACATCTGACTGGAACGAAAAGAGCAAGCAAAATACTACAAAAAGGCATATGAAGAAGAAACTACAGTAGTTTTTTTTTGACCATGCCCCCTCAAAATCGCCACCGCTGAATTGGCACTTCCAGGCGACCCATACCAGGACCAACACATCCATCCACAGGGTGTTGATTCGTCAAGATCCAACGTGAGTTCTCAGCCAAATTCAACTGGCCTTCATATTTCGTCACCTGGCCACAACAAAAGAGCATCCCTCTACCATGTTGACCTAGCGCAGTCGACCTGGAGACCTGGCCCTTCTTCGTCGAGGCTCCAATCCCCACGCGCCCGAACTCGGTGTCGAAGGTCCCCGGCAGCTCGCCGCGGGTCGCCCAGCTCCCATCCACGTAGTCCTGGAGCTCACCCACCGGAGCCGAGCCGCAGGTCGCACCCGTCGGAATGAAAACACGGATGTGGACACACGAATTGGGAAGAGACCTTTTCTCTCTACCGGGTTGTTGCTAGATTGCCAAGAAAAGAATTGAATAGACATGATATGGTCTTAGAATGATTTAGGATGTCTTAGGCTCCAACATGAGTGCGATACAGTGCCCAATGGGAGGGATGTCTGGAAAAATCACATTGTGAAGTTCTATAGAACTGGAACTCTGACAAAAACGATGGCATCTCCCAAATCCTTGAGACGTATTACAGTATATATGCCTCTCCTTTCCCTCCTTGGCTCGTGCTGACCCCGCCCCCAACCGCTGTCCCACAGGAAGGTCTTGCGATAGTGGATCACCTGCAGCAACGACTTCGAGTGAAGAGTTCTATCTTGGCACAGCGAATCATCCCTGACCTCCCAAAAACGAGATCAGCCATTACTGACATGGGCTGTTCCAGTCAGGCATGTCAACACGGTTCGGTTTTTGGGCATCGACCCCCAGCTAATCGAGGGAGCGACCGTCAAGCAAAAATCCTTAACTGGGATTGTATGTGTCTGTATCTCACAAAGTGCAAGTCACGATACTCAGACAGTGACATGCCCATCACCTGGGCATCAGTGGAATTAATTTATGGTAGTACAGTTGTACCTTTGTGTGCGTCGGGGTGGTGCCCGGGATCGGGCGGAGGGGTGATGGCCTTTCTCAAACTGACAAACCAAAATCATAAACTAAGTAAAACATGCTAAAACGTACATATAAATATATATATATGTATAATTATGTATATATTACAGTAGTCAATCTCTTCGCATCGTTCTCGCTGCTCGCGGCTTGTCCTCCAGCTCCTTCCCACTTGCCAGGGCACAATCTTTCCCTCGGGTGACGCCAGGCACACCGTATTAAAGAAGCGTGCATCGCCCTCCACCACCTCCGTGGCAAATGTCTAAGGATCAGCCGCAGGCACAGTAAAACAACACAAGCTTCAAAGAAAACAGGGCATCCGTGTTTTCCAAAGAAACTGCAGCTGATGCTAGCAGGCAGGGCTTGGTGCCTGATGTGTGGTATCTAGTTACTGTCAACGAGTGAGCTCCAGCGCTATTTGACTGCAATCTGCAAATCTAAATCGGACACATAAGTCACGAGTCACTGGGTCCTAGCTCACCAAAAGAAAGGAACCGCTATGAACTTGTGCGGTGAACATTTTGCAGACTTCATCTGCACACAAACCAAGAACCTCCTCCTCGACGAAGGGAATCGTCAGGTACACGCCCAGCTCCTCATGAAACCGTGAGCCGGTCTCAGATTGAACTTGTTTCTTCAGCTAAAATCAAGTGGGCATCAATTCAAAGGGACCGCTGTGAAGCAAACACATCGCCAAACCTCAAATCAGCGGGGGTCTTCTTCTTCCCACTCAATTGGGATCAAAGTAGCGCGAGGGTGTGAACAGTCGTTTGGCGCAATGTGATGCTTATGACCTCACACACGCGGCATCTGGGTTTCAAAGCCGCCAAATGTTGGGCAAGTGGCCAGGCCGGCCCCACATGAAGCCTCGGACCACAGTGTGAGATGAGAGGCCTTCGCGAGCCACCCTCAAAGGAAGACCCATGAGACTCAATTCCCGAAGGTCTCCTTCGCAAGTTTCACGAAGTGCTGGACGATCCTAAGATCTGGAACAGGCGAAGGGTAAAACTCTGTCACATGCTCAATGGAGTAAGGACGTCTGAGATGGGTTCGTTTGTATGAATTGGCAGGCGATACTCTTGGAGAACTCTTTGAATCATGAACTCGAATCTGTGGATGTTCAACATGCCCTGTTCCCAACCCTTTCCTTGGAAAAAAACATGCAAAGGCAGCGATTTTGCAGTTCTGAATTCCTTGTTCAAATCTTGGATGATCTTGGAACATTTGGAACATGTTTCTTCCTGGCTTCAGCAACAGAATATGCAAAAATACGACCACAGTTACAACACAATGGCTGGATTGAAAGCGATTTGTGTTAGGTCTGGCGGCCTGCCCGGGTCCCCATCTTCAGCAGTTCACTGGAGGAACGGCTCTGTGCACTCAGTTTCACTCATCCTAGCATTGTGTCAAACTGTTGACATGATTTGACAGTGAACAAGGATCCAATGGAATATTGGAGGCGTAGCCGGGAGAACAGGATGTGATATCAACATGCAAAACAAAGATAAGCCTGCATGTTGCTATCTTTTTGCAATCCATGGAGGCGATCTACTCCAACGCTCAGGAACATTGCCTGAATGCGTGACTTCACGCGACAAAGAGAGACGTCTACGACCATCTCTGCTGGCAAAGAGACGACAGCGACCGTCGCCGGTCAGGTGGATCTGAGGATGTGTACAGTATGGTCAAAAGAAGTGCATAAATTAGAAATTCTAATTTAATTTCATTCTAATTTGTTACTACTAGCGAGGCACTTGTTACTACTAGCTTCTTGCTACAGTTTGTGCCATGAATCCGCCTAGTTCGGTGAACCCGATGTACACTTTTGTCCTGTATCTGTATCAGCCTGTATCTAAGACCCACCTCCGTCTAAGTAAGAGCAACACGTCAAAGCTCCTGCTCTAGTTTTTCTGCTTTCTGGGTTTGCTCAGCCTTTTCCTTCAGTCGCGCCCTTGCTTCATTCCTGGGCTGCCAAGCTCTCTGTGCTGCTGCTAGCATAGATTGCATCTCAATCTGGCAAATGAACACACTGAGCTTCAAATCAAACACTTGCAAGGGCGTTGCTTCTTTTCTACACCCAAAACCGACAATATTCAAGCTCATTAGCCTGTGCCCTTGACTCAAAAGTCCGTGCGTCAAGCATCAACTTACGGGCTTGGCCCAACTTGGCAATGCCAAGTTAATTAAGTTGGAATGTCCAGTGATGGGATAAAAACAAAGTGTCCAATCCACCCAATGGGCCAATGGGTTCGGACTGTGGGTTCAACATGTTCACTCTAAACACTGTCCTGCGTGCCACGGCACACCAGCTTGAGGTCTCTCTGCTCCATAATCCGTTCCTGATCTGCACCCGGTGTGTGGGTAACGAGGAACATCGTATGCCGTATCCACCTGTCAATCTGTGGCTTGGAAGCTGGAATCTTAGGACCCCAAATAATTAATGCTGAGACAAACTAAGGGACCAAAAAATGCAATATATATATATATTATATTTAACTTTTTTACTTAAAGTTTGGTGTTCCTCTTTGTTCTTTTTCAAGATCATTCACATCAGCGCAAAGTAACAAGCGCTGCACGGAGGCTTGAACTCATTGTATTCGCCACAAGTGGTGCCGACTTCGCTGGACACCCAAGGCTCAGTGTCCCGGTAGAAATGTTTGAACTCCTCCATGGTCAACACCAGGTCCTCAAGGGCGGACGTGTGAAGAAGGGATTTCTGGAGGGATAGGAAGAAAAGGTTGATCATTATACCAGGACCCTCCAAGGGGTGTCTATTTATAGCCCCTTAGCTGTTAAGGGGTGTCCATTAACCACCCCTTGGAGGGTCCTGGTACATGAATCTTAAGAATTTATGATATTTCTTAATGCCTAGTTCTAGTTTCTGATCACTAATCAAGATCACTCTCTTACACTAGCAGCCAGAAAGCAGTCCGTCTTTTGAACCAGTGCAGTGGCAGTTGCTGCCAAGATTTCATGAAATCTTACACATGTCAACATATGTCAACAAGCCTCGAAATCAATTACCTAATGGCAGCTTCTCCGGAAGTGGCCATGGAACCCATCACCCCCTATACCTCGGTCACACCAAGTTCTAATGGAGAGGTGTTGTCCGCATCCTTCTCCCTTAGCCAAGTTGGGAGTTCATTTAGCATCCGAATCCTTACAGGGTTGCTAAACACTTCCCTCCATCCCTCTGCCCTGCTGTAGTTGGTAACTACCCACTCTCCTCATCCCGATCTGCTTTGGTGAAGGCTTTTTGAAACTTCTTCTTCACCTTGGTTGCAGGTGGCCACATCCTGTCGGTTCCTTTTTGGGACTTCTGGTTGCAAACGACCGCTGTCTTTCCTACACTCGGTGCAAGAACTGGACGTACACCGTGGTTTGTTGGCGTACCGGGGTGGACTCCCGAAAAGGGCAGGACATCTAAGGGAATAACCCTTGAGCTTCCCAGCTTTCCCAACTCCAAGGGGGCTCGTCCTTCTTGTTACTAGTAGCGTCCTTGCTCCTAGTAGTAAGGCCAGGAGCCCCGTTCGTAGCGTCTCTAGTAGCGAACATTGTTGGGCGGACTATTCCTTTGTGCCCGATCCGAGTCGCATCTTTGGGCAGCCGATCAAATCCTTCGCTGTGCATCACCTCGTGCCAGTGGATCGTACCATCTCGGCCTGCACTCGCTGGAGAAACTCATGACAGGGTAAAAACTGAGTCGAAGCTGAGTGGTCTACACATCGATCGCCTAGCTACCTATAGCTGTAAAGGTTTTTTCCTACGGTTGGTCAATGCAAGAGTTTCTGCTGCATATCATATCATGTCCGCGAATCAACCTGCTGAGTTGTATTAGTATTATATGTATGTTACAATACGCGTGGGGGGGGGTCCTGCTCGCCATTTTATAGTCTATATTTGGCCAGGTGTGACCCCTGGATTCTGTACATATTGCGAGGAGTGGCCCCTAGATCCTCTAAATTTGGAACCATGAAATCCAAACGAAAACTGCAGCGCAAAGACAATTTTTTGTTGTATAAAATGACGAGGTCTGACCCTCAAAAGATGTTGGAATGGAACCTATATAAACGATATACTGTTTGTGAACCTGTAGGCTGCCTGGGGCATCTGGCGAGTAGCTGTGTTTTTAAGCAATCCTGGGGGTTGCACCCCCCCCATTGTATAGAGGTCCCAGTGTGGCCTCCCTTCTGTTTTGGCCACCAGGCATCTCTGGTGGATTGGTTCTACAACCTCTTGCCATGTCTTCAAGCTCAATGGCTACAAATCACAGGCTGAAAAGAATTGATGAAATCCAACATGTTTTTTCTTTTTTTTGGAGACCTCATCCAACTTAATTATTATACAAACAGATCTACACACAAAATTGCAAAGTATCATGGCATACCAAAAACCTGACCCCCCTTTTCAAAATTACCATATGTTGATGCCAACGCATGTCAACACATGCGTGTCTACAAAATCAGGGACCTAACCTCAAAAAATAATCAACATATGCCGGGGGATGAGCCCCTGAGGATATTGCATCATACATAGTATTATGCACTGGTGTACGGGCACACACCACGGCAAAGCCAGTCCCAGAATTTCTTGGAATGACCTAAGCCCAAAATTGCATGGAATCATCGTCAAGAGGGCACCAACATTTGACCATGAAATAACCAAAGGCACGTTGATCAGTCCTTCCCCCTCCCACCCCCTATGGACCATGGATCATAAGTCCCAGCGTGACTGACTGCCCTTACTCAGAATTTCTTGACCCCTTCCTTCCAACATCTCTCCAAAAAGGCGTGGCAGTCTTCCAGCGTTGGCCATCAAATCAAACTGGGAAACCAAAAGCGCGTAGCTCTGGCACGAGTGATTTGAGAGGACACCTGCTTCTTGAAATCCCTGTAACACTGTAATTTCGTGTTTCCGGGTAACATCAAGTCGCGTCTGCAAAATGAACAAATCAACTATCCGATCAGGACATAAGGTGCAGTTCCTTCCGAACTCTTTACCTATAGTTCCAATGACTTTCTCAGCACTTCGGCTCGTTCCGAAAGAACAACTCCTTGGAAGCCTGCTTGGCGCACCCTCCAACTTCAAGCGTTGCTTGCATCTATCTAACTGGGGTCTCAAAGAGGATGTACTCATGATCCATTGTTGTGGATCGCTGAACTAAAGGAGGCCCACTTTTCGCACAATGTATCATCTATCTATATATATGCTATATATATATATTACCTTTGCATGTGTATAATATTTATATATATGTGTGCTGCTATCTCTTTGGGATATACTGGGGTCCAGATCCATCAACCTAACGTACGTCCTGCCCAGCACCTCAAGTCTCACTTGGTTGTCTATTGGCGAGGGGCTAAGGTCCATGTTGTCCAGCAACGCCTCAAAGTCTGAGTCTTTCATCGCAAAGATTCTCCAGGCCATGGCCACCACGGCAAGCTTCAACATCACGCGGAAAAAAAAAACACAGTCAGTTGGCGGTGTTCATGGTTTGCGTGCCAAACTTTGGGAATGTTAACATGTGTGCAAGCTTTACATGTCACTGGCTACAAGATGCTCCAGTAAAGAGACACGCAAGCACATGGATGCCACCAAGGCCAAAGGCCATCCTTTGCTAAACCTATGGCAGCAAAACCACTTGCATTGCATAGTCTGTATTTGTCATATACTTGTGTTCAGACACTAATTAACGGCACTCTCTTTTGTTGCCAGCATCTCTGTGAGCATTACATGCAGCAGAACTAAGTGCCACAATCACGAAAAGCACTTCTAGGACCAGCTCAGCCCTTGTCAAAGCCTAGTAGCTCCTGAACGGCCTACACGCAGGACCGTCATGATGAAAGCACCAGGGGAGTGTCCAACAAACTTCTGCCCCAAACCCTCCAATAGTAGCCGCGTTCCAAAAGGCACTGTTGTTTCTTTCTTGCAAGAACCTATAGGCAGCACAAGCACAATTCCTATATGTATTATATATACCTACCAATACACTAGAACAAACATGTACATTCTGCATACGTACAATTATACATATATATATATGTAAAATTGTGTGCATGTTATTAGCTAGTCTTAGTATAATATGTATACAGTATACAGTATACACCCACACGCGCATGCCTTCCGCTGTCTAATCGCCGGACTGTTGATCTTTTGGGGTGGGTGCGTGTCCCTTGTTCCTAGTAGCGATGCTCCTTGTTACTAGCAGCTTCTTGTTCCTAGTAGTAGTGCCAGAGGAGCTACTGGTAGCTTCTTGATAGTAGTCACTAGTCAAAATTATTCGACCGGACTTTAAAAATTAAGTTCCAAATGAAGCACACATGACTCCATGACAAACATCCAACAGGTTTCAAACCTGGAAGTTCGGAAGCCTGTTCAAAGAAAACAACGTACGTTGTGGAGGAACGATCACCGCTGTGGATCAAGGCACGCTGCACTATCGTTGTTAGGGTCCCGCATGGTCTGGCCCCCAGCTATTGGCGTACAAAAGGTCAGCGGCATGCAGTTCCGAACTTGGTACTTGGACGTTTGAACGGACACGGGTGCTGCGAATGAATGGAAGCAAGAAGTCAAGAAGGTACTGTGCAGCAACTCAACGTGGAACCATTGGCTAACAAATTATGCGGCCAAAATGGTTGATGCCAAGCATCGGTGAGTCAACTTGTGGCACAATACCTCTTGGGTTGATGCCAGCGAAGCGAGGTTGTAGCCCCCTCTCCGGCCGGTGCCAGTTGTGGAGGAAAGCCTGGGAGGTGTACCTTGGATGGCGCTGAGGAGGCGCAGATCGCGCCGAGTAGGCGGAGTCAGGTGTGCGAATTCGTGCGAACCTTCTGGAACCACGATGCTGAGCAAAACTGACACGCTATGAGCTGCTGGGACTTTCTGCCATCATGAATTCTTTTCATGGCTTTCGGGACGCAACAGCGCGATACAGTGGCGCAGTGAGAGTGATAATGTCTATTTGCGGACGTTTCTTTGCGTCTTTATCGACTATTTGCTGCAGGGCCGCGTGATTCCCTGCCTCGTCAGTCTTAGTCTTCACTCATTATTAGAACCCTCCCCTTGATTCCAATCACCACTCCAAGAGCTCATGAGAAATCCAGGGCCGAAGTCACAATGACACATCAGCAGCACGGATCTGATTCAAGGATCCATATAGCAATGGATACCCTAAGTTTTAGCCCTCTCAAGTTTGCTCCATAGACAAAAATCACTGCTATCCTAGTATCGAATGTGGTTTGGTTCATCAGTGTTGCATTTATGGCGTGCATGAGGTAGCTGGTGGGCTGAGGATAAAAGTCAATATTAACACGACCACGCACACATAATTTTACACACATAAACTGTCTCAAATTGCACGGCCTAATGGCCAGTGCAACCACCCTCCTTGCAAATGAAACGTCATTCATGTCCACTCAGCACCTGGATCTCCAGAATTCCGATGTTTCCAGACTGAAAGTTCTATATATATATATATAAGTTCAAGTAAACGCAAAAGAATCTTTGGAAGGAAGAAGAGCCGCCCACTTGAGATTCGAGAGATTCCACAATATGTTGCTTTTCGATCAACGGTGTTTATTCTGGTTCGATCGGTCCTGTTGGTCATCGACACTCGGCTTGTTATTCGGCTCGCCACGCCGCCCAAGGAGACTATAATATACTTAGTATAGTTATTTCTGAAGAGTCGCAGGGCCAACAAAGCTGGGAATCGCTTCCACAAGACGTGTGGATTCCAAGGGCACGCTGGCAAAATTGGCGAATGTTGGGTAAATTTGGGTAAAACATAGCCGCTAGTAGAAACAATGTTCGCTACTAGTAACAAGTGCGTCGCTTCTAGTAACCAGTGCCTTACTAGTAACAAGAAACTAGTAGAAACAAGTGCCTTACTAGTAGTAACAAGAAGCTACTAGGGGCTCCTGGCATCGCTACTAGTAGCAAGTGCCTTACTACAGTAGTAGTAACAAGAACGCTAGTAGAAACATGGTAAGAGGCCTTCGTCGGACTGAGTCGGATGTAGCTTGGGACACCAACGTCGTCAGATCAGGGCCTCCTGGATGAGCCGCTGGGGCCGGCGGTGCAGAAGAATCCAAAGGGTCACTTGGCAGAGACGGGAGGTTCGCCGAAGGGTTCAATAGGTTGTGCTCAGCTTGGATAGTCGAAAAAATGTTCGCAGGGTCACTGGTGAGAAGCTTGCACACTGATGTTTGAATAGGTGTCTTAAGCATCAAGTTGTGTGAACAAATGTCAAATATTTTCACGCATTTTGAGTCTTTGCAAAGGCTCTCAATGATGAGCTTTATGTGAGGCATGTATACAAACTGCTTGTATTCTGTTGTTATGATTCTCGGGCATGCGCGAAAGAGGCATGTGTATGTGCTTGAAACCGCCATGGGAAAATGAGTTGGTGCATTTTACACTGTGTCCGAAATGAGCTCCGAGGTGATTCGCGAGGTGTGTCTTTTTCTTTGAAATCGCAAAACCAAAATCAGTTTAACCCAATTAATCCACTCACCAGTTGTGAATGTTTTTTCAAACAATTCTAGCTACAATAGTCTATAGTCGTATTTGCGCTAGGAACACAAGGGTGTCAGGTTCAATCTCACTTTGGGTAGGATACAGCAAAGGAGACTCAGCTCCTGCAGCTAAGGGGCCCCGTGAGTGCGGCCTCAGGGAAGACAATGATCTTGGCGCCCTGCTCCTCACTCCACGAACTATCCAGTTCGTATCCGGAAGGAACTCTAACATGGCGTTTCGAGGGGATGAGGTGACCCTCGAATTTCGATTTGCATCGAATTGCTATGAAGTACTATGGTGAGCCCCTGGCATCTGGAAGGCAACTCTCTCGGCATGGGGGTTGTTGAGTCTCTGTATTTTGAAGTGCTCGCCATGGTGGATCCAGATCTATCCATTTAGTTTCATGCAACTGTACTTGTTCCATCTTGTTCTTTTGGGGTAGTCTTGCGTATTCCATGGCGTCGCCTTTCTTGTGAACCAGCCCCTGTAGCTCGTTGCAGCTAGACTCGACGGATACCTCTCACATCCTGTCACCTTCCACACCGAAGGGCGGAACGCTGCCCCCCACCCGAAAGACGGCTTCCGCTAAACCCTTTTCGCCCCAGGCGCAGCGGCCGTTTTCGCCAAAGCCTCCATCTTCCGGGCATTCACCTGGATTGGGAAGCTGAACGAACAGGGCTCTCCAGTGAGGGGGGCCAAGGACCGGTGGAAACAAGGTGACCCGTTACAGTCGCACCGCGAGTCCGACCAAACGGGCGCCTTAATGGCCTCCAGAGTGCCCATCTTGGACGAGCATTGGATCGCCTCAGCGGTACATGAAACCGATCTGTACACGAAACTCACATGGACCCGGAGAAGACGATGCACCCGCAGGTAAGTTGGAGGCCATCGCGGTTGTTGGGCTGGAGGCCAACCCTGTGTTTTTCAGGGGCCCTGAGTCCATGTCAATCTTCTAGGGACCAACCCCAATCACCTGGGCCCGGGCAATCGCCCAAGCTCAAAGCAATAGAGCCGCTAGATCACCCCTGGATAATGGTGGAGATCAGCCTGGCTTCCAACAAAAAAAACACTTGCATATTTACGTACAGAATTCCAGCCAATTCCCCTCGCCCTGCGCGCTTGTCCATTGAGAACCGTCAATTGCACCCACATATATTAATTGTCCCCTCTGCAAACGTCGTGTTTTCAAACCAAGCGAACTCGGGGAATGCCCTGGGATCACCTCTGAGAAGGATGGGATCGGTATGCCAGCACAACTAATTATCTGGCGGTGCGTCAAAAAATTCAATAGCATAGTGATCATACAATTCCATGCATGTCCATATCATTAAGATTAGTTTTTTGTGATTCCAAATACGGTCACGTTGACCCAGGGCTATTGACCAAGTCTCTGCGACTCGGACCTTGGACGAGGACGAGTGGTGCTCGTCGGCGCTGACCCCTCGGAGGGGCAAAGGAAGTCGTTGGAGAGTCCGTCGTCGTCCTTCGTTTATAAATCTCTTCACGGTCATTCCCTCTCAGCAGCCTAGAAGTTGGAAAATTTGGGAATCACTTGAGCCTCTTACCCTTCGTGCAGTGGCAAAGTAAATCGGTCATAGCCAAAAGCCTATGGCAGTAAAAAGCTTTCGTCCCATCAATCACCAGTGCCTGGCAGTGCTAGAAGCCCCTTGAAGCAAGGGGGGACCCAATCCACCCACTTGCCGCTGTCTGCCGCAGCCGCCATGCTGCCGGACATGGTCTGAAGATTTTGCCCTCAGGACAGGATGGAATGCTTGAGATCGTCCAAAACCATCCAAAACCTCCTAGTGCGTCTGCGACAAAATGTCTCAGCCTTCAGTGCCTGCAGGCTGGACTTTGCAGGAAACCTATAGCACTTAGTAGTAGACCATTTGCTGCCTCGCAAATTAGGGCTGATATGAAACCCGTTAGTGAAACTA